GACCAAAAAGCTGGATATCAGTAAAAGATAATCAGTTATTTAGTCAAGATCCTATATATACAGCGAGGAGAGGGGATAACCATGCTCTTTCAAGTCCAACTATATAATAAAATTTTACGTACTATTATTTACACGGCATATATAACTTAGCCTGAGGCTATTGACAGGATCGTCCTGTCAACAGCAGGAAATACTGCACTGCTGACAGGATCGTCCTGTCAATAGCAGAAAATACTGCACTGCTGACAGGACGATCCTGTCAATAGCAGAAAATATTGCACTGCTGACAGGACGATCCTGTCAATAACAGGAAATACTGCATTGCTGACAGGATCGTCCTGTCAGCAGTGCCATTTTTGACACTGTTGACAGGATCGTCCTGTCAGCAGTGCCATTTTTGGCACTATTGACAGGATTTTTTAAATCTTCCATTTTGACATGATTTCTTCTTTGTTTCCATTTTTTAACCAGTCAGAAGGCATATGCTACTGTACTGCAGATTAGGCGTTTCACGATGGCGGCTATCATCACGTTAACAGTTATCAATACAGAGTACTCCAGCAGATATATATTGTCAAAACTAGACATGTCCAAAATATAAATACAAGCGAATTTCATGCATAAGCTGTCTGAAATACGAAGGCAGTTACATAAGATGAAGACAATAAAAAAAAGACAAAAAGAAGTTGATCTCTATCCATTATTTATTCTTTTAACAACTTCGAAATCAAATGGAACAAATCCAGGAAAGTACCGCTGGTGTGGCATTTCAGCTAGCCGGCCCGCTAACAGCAACAGCCCCCTGGCGCGCGTATCCAGCTGGCCACCGAATTTTACCGGCCCCACTGGGCCCCACAGTACCGGCAAAGGCACGCTGCAGGGCCTGGCACGCTGGTTAGTGTTACTGGGGGGCGGGTTGTCGTGTTGCTGTTAGCACGCCTGGCGGTTAACCCTGGGTGCCCCAGAGTCCGGCGTTTATTTGGCGATAGATTTCGGGAGAAACCGTATTTGTCCGCTACCATTATCCACCCAAACCCCTTCGTCCACGCGAAGCCCTCTATATAAACGCCTCATGCGCGAGGAGATATTTAGAATTTAGACCCAGTGTGCCAAGTAGGTCTGCCGGGAGTATGGCTTCCCGTGACTTTTACTTAGGAGATAGACACTCGCGCGCGGGGTGGCACCCAGGCTAGTCCGACGGGTACCCGCCGGTGGACCGCGCTGTGTCATTCCCGCGGCGCCGGCTGTAATGGCTAGCGCTTACTGTCGCCCCGACTAGCCTCTACCAGGCACCGTGGATCGCTGGAAAAATAATAGAAACTGGCCGAAATAAAGGGAATATATACCAAGGGAGTTAGCCGGCCAGAGAAGCTCCTTGGTATATATTCCCTTTATTTCGGCCAATTTCTACTATTTTTCCAGCGATCCGCGGTGCCTGGTAGAGGCTAGTCGGGGCGACAGTAAGCGCTAGCTTACGGGAGGCCAGGCGCGCGCTACCGAGCGGGGGATCAATGTATGCACGACGATCTGCAGGGGCCGCAGCGCAGGATCGTAAAAAATGGCCTAACAGCATACATAATAACACCTGCATAAGACCTACACGAACCAGCGCCCACCCCAAAATTTCCAGTATGAAATAAAAATACCAAAATTTTATCGATCCTGTCAGTAGTAGAATAATTTGCACTGCTGACAGGAAAAATCCTGTCAGCAGTGCAAATTATTCTACTATTGACAGGACGATCCTGTCAGCAGTGCAATATTTTCTGCTATTGACAGGACGATCCTGTCAGCAGTGCAGTATTTTCTGCTATTGACAGGACGATCCTGTCAGCAGTGCAATATTTTCTGCTATTGACAGGACGATCCTGTCAGCAGTGCAATATTTTCTGCTATTGACAGGACGATCCTGTCAATAGCCACAGGCTATAACTTATAAGAATTTTTACTATCGTGTATCTGTATACCCGGTATTACCGCCCTTCGGCGTAACAATATCGTTTTGTAATGTTTGATGTGAAATTTAGAATTTGAAAGTTTTAAACGACTAGTAAATTGTCTGCAATTCAGTGACCGGGAGGGTCACTGTGAATGTGCAATAAACACATCTTGAACTTGAACAAAACGCAGCAAAACCCGCTCAGACTTACTCTGTGATACTTCTTTTATTATACACAAACGTTTACTTATACAGGAGGTTCGCTTTGTGAAGCAAGCTTAGGAAACGGAACTATGCACACTTTTATACACTTCTATGTACAAGCTGGCATCATACAACGTACGTTTGTGAAGATAAACAAAAACAAATAAACAAAAACAAACAGTTACTATCACCACACGCTATCGGATCCGAAGTTTTAACTAAAACTTGACGATTACAACTGGATATATTGGAAGAAGAGAAGCATTCAGTTCTGGAAAAAATATATATTCATCTTGCACTACGTCAATTCAACGTAAGGACAAAGTATTCTTCGGCACTGCATTCTATCTAGCACGCAATGTCTTCGTTGTTATGGCAACGAAGACAAATCGCGTTAACCAAGACGTACATACTTTGAAGTACCGCCGTAAGTAGCCTCCGCACTGCGTCAGACATCATGTAATGTTTCAACTACGTGTATGCATTCGCTTAGTTTTCTTTTTTCCAACTTCGTTTTCTATGGTTGCTGATGGTACGAAAGATAAAAATATAATTTCTAGCAACAGAAAACACGTGTATTACTACCGGGAACACCCGTGAAGCAAGTACTCAAAACAGCAACTTCACAACTCTAATCAGAACTGCTATAGAAGCTTCGGTATATATGTGTCGGGTATGGTATACTAGTATAAGCCTTGCCGTTGTGTAAATATAGTCGCTATTGTACAATCTCTGTATAGATATATATATAGCTTCAACTATTTTGGCTACTAGTATACATACTTTTTTTTCTCTGGAACGTACAATAAACAAACTTTCCCATACCGTAAGCACGGCAAGTGAAAGTAAAATGACTTAAGTTGTCCAGGTTACACGAAGCCTTAGCGTTAATATGTCTTCACTGTACAGCATTTTACACGTCTGCGTGCTAACATGGCCACACTAACAAAGCAAGAAGGACCTGCCTTCTATTACCGAATGTTTCTGTTTTATTATATAGCTGCAAAGCCGAGTAGAAGAATATCGCTAGCAAAAAGTGGCGCACCGCTACTATTGCGCCACCTAGCAAGGCTACAGAGAACTGCAGATGCTTAAAACAGCTTGGTATATGGCGCGTGTTCTCCCAATAAACTGTGAAATGGCGCCACCAAGACCTTATCTACACGCATACTACACCTTTTGCACATTTACAATAGCTTGTGTCGTTCTGTAACTATCAAGAGCGCCGCCTTGCAGTTTGGGTTTTAACTACAGGAAGCTGCGGGTGAGGGGCTCTGCGGGGGGTCCTCTGACGTCACGCTGTTCTGTCCCTTGTGGCAGTGCAGGCAGTGGAAACAGATCGAACACCGACCTTGTCGCTTAGCAACCTGAGAGTAAACAGCAAAAACAAAATTCTTAACTGCCATCTAAAAGGACTTGCATGTTATAGGAACTTATGTTCTCCCTGTGAAACTTCTATTAACTATCCACAAATAATTAATCATAGGACATTTATTGTTATACCTGTACTGTTTAAAGTGACTCAGATATTGGGGTATCAATATCGTTATACAACACTTTGTTTTGGATGCTCGATCGCAAAAAGGTGGAAACAGTGTGAATCCCTCAACTATGTTGTCTCTCTTTCTCTACTACTTTTAACCGAAATGCAAATTAATTTGTAACGGTGAAAAACACGTGCAGAAGCGTTTAGGTTTGAAAACATCATCACAAAGATCGGTGACGTGAACCCAAATATTGCTGACGTGTGCCGTACCTGTGCACGTATCTTGAGCGCAGGCCCCAGCTTCATGCCCAGCTGATTCTGCAGGAGTTCCTCGTGTAACATCGGCAGTGTCTCCCCGTCTATAGCCTGGTCTTTAAACGCCTGTGAGGGACGAAAAAAACACGTACAGATTATACAATTGTCACTGTAAACTAAGGGCCTCTGGCGCCTGATTTTAGGCTACATATTCTCGTGTAACATCGGCAGTGTCTCCCCGTCTATAGCCTAGCTGGTCCTTAAACGCCTGCAAGGGAAGAAACAACGCATACAGATTACACAATTGTGACTGACCCGGGGCCACTGGTGCTTGATTCTTAGCCTCCTTCGCAGTCTTGTTGGGCGTCAGTGTTATTTTTTTCTGTGAGCGACGCGAGTAATATGCCGCCGCGAGGGACGATTTGTTGTCGAGTGAGTTTTTGCCACGGAGAGAAGGATTCGCGCTCCGTGGCAAAAACTAGAAAGATAACGCCGACGCCCAACAAGACTGCGAAGGAGGCTACTTGATTCTATCCTACATATCCGCTAGGGCAGTGGAGATGGTATCGGTATGATTGGTAGTAAAATAGATGCTATCATCTTCTTCAAAATTTCAAAACCTGACTCTTGCTCATATAGTCACGTAAGATATAGAGAGCGTTTCTTAATACCTGAACGTCTAACCTTCACCGACGAAACATATACTACTAGTATATGATTGTGGAACTAAGAAAAGTACTGAATGTTCAATTGGCGGCATTTTTTGTTATCTCCAACCGAGTTGCCCACGTACCTGCGCATACTCCGAGCAGCCGCCCAGCGACTTGATGAACTGGTACACGTCATCGACGGTCCAGCTGGCGATGGTCTCCTCGGGTTCCCGGATGTTGTTGTCCCGGCAACAGGCCACGCCCTTGCAGGTGCACTCGTTGTTGTTGGAGCTGGCGTTGCTGTCCCGGCTGCTCGGTCTCTCAGGCTGACTCTCACTTTCACTGTCTTTGGTACTTTCACTTGGCGACTCCGGGCGAGAAGCGTCTTGGGAGACGTCTCCGTTCACCAGCGGCCCTTCTTCAGGTGTTTCTCCTTCTCTGTCTTCCTTGCTAACTTTTTCGAAGCTCTCGGAGTCAGTGTGTGAAGTAGGTGCCTCCTGTGGTGTGGCGAGTGGACTCGCCCTCTCGCGAGATTGCGCGGGAGTGGGCGAGACTTCGGGCGCGTGACGTAGCACCAACATGGCGTTCCTGCGCGCCTGTTCGCTCGGGTAGAGCAGCGGGGAGTCGGCGGCGTAGGCCGGGTGCATGAGGTGCGGGTCCGGCGGCAGGACGCCCGGAACTGCAGATAGCGGCTCCCCCGCCAGACGCCGCTGCTGCTCGCGCGACAGGGAGGCGTAGCGACGGAACGCCTCCTGCTGACGTAACAGGATCTCCGTGTTCATCTGGTCGGCGTACCTTTGCGGAATAAGAGCCGGAGAAAAAATGTTACAGTCTGACTCTGAGACAAACCGTACAGTCTAGACACAGTAGACGTAACATGGAAACAAGCAGCATTTTGTGGTCAAAATTAGAATGGAAGAAGTCCAGAAGACTTGTAGGGCCAACCTTCTCTCTCTCACACACTTCAAGAATTGTGAAATGAAAATAACTTATGCACCATCTAATCTTTAAGTAAATCTAAAAAGACGGCGGTGCCTTCTATTATTTAGTCTTTCACAATAGTTAAAATGATTCTTAAACTCTTTCTCCAAGAGCAATCTTTAATAAGAATGCCTTTATAACTGTATCTTAAAGGAACTCAAAGCTGACGTCTTGCCCCACCTTTTCCTGAGCAGGTCGTTCTGCCTGGCCAGCAGCTCCTGAGGCGTGGTCTCACCTGGCCGGAGAAAGGTGTAGCCCAGGTGTGCCGGGCTCAGCAGGTGAGGGAAGCCCAGGAACGGCGGTCTGAAACCGCACACACAGAAGAACAATGGGCCAAGGTTAGTACCAGTTTCACACATTTAAACAGTTGATTTTACTCCGCTACAAGCAAATGTAGCTAATCTACGGCCTTCTTTAAAACGGCTGACCCAATTACACAGAACACGTGACTTAAGCTTACATGGACACGTGACCCCAGATTTGGCTAAAATGTGGAAACATGGACACAGCATGTGCAAGGAGTGCAGCAAGAAGTTTGTATGTGTTGAAGATGCACTGTTTAGCTACATGTACCTTTACAAATAGTGCAATACTTGTGCTAACAAAACAGACCAGACCGTACCTGAGGTGCGCTCCCAGTGCGATGTGTGGCGTGTGGTTGTGTGAGTGTGCGTGTGTGTGTGTGCGCGCGCGCGCGCGCGTGTGTGTGTGAGACCAAAGCTTACCTGAGGTGCGCGCCCAGTGCTATATGCGGCGTGTGCGGCGTGAAGAAGTGTCCGCCCGTCTCCAGGTAGTCCCTGGGCAGCGCGGCGGGGTCCATGTGCGGCGGCAGCGGCGGCTTGTGCGGGCTGTGCCGGGCGGCGGTCACCGGGCTGAGCGGCCGGTCGGGACCGTCACCCGCCGACGGGGATCCCGGGCTGGACCGCCGGCTGAGCACCCCGTTCTCCTTCGAGTTTTCTGCGGCGGGAAAAACAGACACTGTGAGATGTTTGAAAATTGCACCACATGCTACATCTAAAAGTTACTACCATGTGTAGTGACTGTACATGACGTAATGACCCTATGGCCGCCGCCGCCATCTTGGTGGAGAAGACATAACCAAGATGGCGACTGGTCATTGGGAATGCACAACTATTGTAAGAAATGGATGACTCATAGTAGATTCTAGCGTCCTCTGGTTGCAGTAAAGAGAAATCAACTGTTTTAAGTCTGTCTTTAAGTGAAGTTATGACTTTACTCGCGTCCGTAAATCACCAACATGGCGGACGCCTAACTACGTCACGATCACGTGACTGTCACGTGAGAGTTCCCGGCTTACCCTGCGCGCCCCTGTCGGGCTTCACGGAGTTGGCGAGCTGGTAGATGCGCTGCTGCTGCTCCTCCTACGTGCCCTTATATGGCTAACTACCTTAACTACGTGTGATCACGTGGCGATCACGTGGCAGTCACGTGAACGTTCCAAGCTTACTCTGCGTGCCCCTGAACCTGGTACGTGAGGTCGGAAGCTAACACCATACGCCATAGCAGCTACGTGATGATCACGTGAAGATCACGTGGTGATCACGTGACGATGACGTGCGTTCCCGGCTTACCCTGCGCGCCCCTGTCGGGCTCCACGGAGTTGGCGAGCTGGTAGATGCGCTGCTGCTGCTCCTCGTACGTGCCCTGCTCGTTGTTGAGCGCCGAGAGGAGGCGCTGCCGGTAGTCGGAGCTGAGATACGCCGCGGCCGAGGTGTCCTCGCCGTTCGTCGGGGGCGAGTCCGCTGTGGGGAACACAGGGGACAGGGATTAGAATTACTCAAGAAAACAGTTACTCAGCCAAATCTGTCTAGCAGCCTGCTGTGGAACCTGTTAATAGGCTATGAGCAGCTGTTGGTTGCTGACGGAGTGTACCAGTACCAGTACTCACCCTGTGGCGGCGAGGCGCTCCGCCTCCGCTTGGCCTGTCCTGCGGCCTCCCGTCTCTCGGCGCTGCCCGCGCGCCCGCGCCCCCGCTTCCTGCCGCCCTGCACTCCGCGCAGACCCAGGCCCTCCAGACCGGCAGTCTCGCCTGCCGATTAAAAACACACAAAAAATAGGCGTTAGGAGGTAGAAATTTCAAATGTGCCCGTCTTATTATATAGTCCTACGTATATAATTCTGTCAATCACAAACAACAACGCCGTTATGAGGTACAAATTTCAAATGTGTGAGTCTTACATCGTTCATCACTCCAAGCATCCTTTCAGTACCCAGAGCAAAATCCAGAACAACTGCCATTATGACTCACAATAACATATGAGGTAGAAATCTGAAACGTGTCCGTCTTATTGTCCTACATATATACTCCTGTCAATTACAAACAAAAACGGCGTTATGAGGTAGAAATCTCAACGTGAGAGTTTTACCGTCCCATATACACATACGCCTGTATGTTTAACTTGTAATCCTCATTGTTTTGTACAACACATGCACGAATACTCCGAGAATGCCCCCATGCAGTTTGAGATCGTGCGACAATCGTGCGACGGAGGTGACCAGACCCTTTCGACCGGTCATTCTTCGGCACAAAGTGGCGATTGATTCCTTTAGCCAATTGTTACAGCCTTGCCCTTGCCTTAAGTTACTGTGTCCTGGAAGATGCTACGCTAATTAATGGGAGGCCTAGTACCAGTCTAGAAGAGCTAAAAGAATTAGTAAGCCGCCTGCCACCACTGTTACAGCATATGTCACACAGAATAGAACAGACAGGCCCGCCATCCGCGCAAACCGTGGGCGGACATCTTCCTAATCTTCGCCCGCCTTAGCTGTCAGTCAAAGCTGACAGCCCCGAAACTCTCCTGAGGGGGAGGGGGGCGCCCTAATCGAACACGACAGGGTAAAAAGTCGTCCGTGCCAACTGTCTGTCAAACTCTGCGGAGGAGGGACGAGCGGAATGTTTTGTTACCTACTGTCAGACTGCTGTTGGTAGGGATCCGGAGGCGCGACTACAAATCTGGTCACGAATGTCATTTTGCGATGCTTCTTTTTAATGTATTTGTCCTTGTAGAATCTACCTAGTCATGTCAGTGTGTCTGTAAAATTTCACTGTCCTATGATCTTGGAAAGGTGAAAAATATGATCAAATATGCTGTAGCTAAGGCTATGTTTTGCTACTCTCCAAGCAAAGGTGTAGGTTCGTCTTATTTTTGACGTCTTTTTATCGGGCTTCCATCTTTTTGGACTGGTAACTTTTTACGCCAGGCTAAACGTATTTGGAAAATGCAGTGCCAATTTGATATTGTCTTGTCACCCAAAGATCTGCTTGGGGATTACTAGTAGCATTAGGCGTGTCCAGGCGGGCCTCGTCAGTTATCGAGCGGGTTAAATGAGCGTGGCGCCTGTCAACACGTCTCGGGCCGGGCTGCACCCCGCGCCCGCCGGCGTCTGGCCGGTCTCCCCGGGCCGGCTCCCACACGGGCCCGCCCTTAGCCTCTACCAGGCTTCGGGAGGCGGCTGTAAAGAGTAGAAATCGGCCAAATAGAGAGATAATTTGCCGAGGCAGTTGGTCTACTAGAGTACATTTTGTCGCACTCGAGCGGCAAACTGTACTCTCTGGCGACCTAACTCCCTGGCATGTTATCTCTCTATTTAACCGATTTCTACTCTTCCAGCCGCCTCCCGAAGCCTGGTAGAGGCTAGGTCCCCCCCGGGCCGGCTCCCGCACGGGCCGCCCGCCTCCACCCTGTCGCCGCGGTCTGACGGGACTCCCGCACCGGAACGGCGGTGAAAGATTGCGGTAAAGGGCCGCATGAATGCCGTTCTACGGATAACATCAACGTGCTGGCAGATTTTCCTTTTTTTTATTGTCCACTTTCTTTCGAATTTCCCATTTTTTTTGGTCCATTTTCTTCTGAATTTCACATTTTGGGTCATGGTAACTAGTGTTGGGTTACATCATGTTGCAATTTTATAGCAGGAGGGATTTAGACTCCTGTTACCATATACTAGTATATATGGATGGTCATATGCGAAGGTAAACATTATGCATTTGCCTTGCAAACGTTGCCTTTCTAGTTGTTTTCTTGCCTTACCTGAGGAGCTGTCGTTGGGCGATGACGCGGCCGCACGGTCCCCTGCAGTTCCGCTGCCGCCGCTAGCGCTGCTGGCGCTGCAGTACAGGTGCGAGATGATGGACGATAGGTTGCTAGGGAATACGTCACGTGGTTAGATGACGTGTCGCCGATCACAATGCACCTTGATTTACATCACCTTTGTCCGAAGTCGCTGCTTTAAGTTTAAATTGATTTTTCACTCACAAAGCAAAACGTTGTTGTTGGAGTTGCCAAATGAACAACTGAATTGCAACAAAACGCTAAGACATATACGGGAACATTAAAAAGACAACATAAAATGATGCCAATTTTACATAAAGCTTTATTGCACGACAATTGCACATGGTACAATGTATGGCAACAGCTATTAAACATAAGTACTAAGTACGTCGGTGAAGGTTAGACATCCAGGTAATAAGATGCGCCAAAAACAGTTACTCAAGCAACTGGATATGATATGAAAGGTAGTGGATGCTATAGCTACCTGAAACGTCTGGCCGTTTCCAAAATCATATCCAATTGATTGAGTAACTGTTTTTTTTGTGTGCATTAGTACTAAGTGTTCATGCTGTACACTTAAGATTTCAGAGAAACGCTTTCCTAGCAGAAAAAAAGGACATGGCGTAAACTATTCACCTTTTCTTCCCGGAGGATGAACCGTGTTCTTCGTCGCCTTCTCCCGCGTTCTCTCCATCATCTGATTGGTTCTCTTCTCCGCGCCTGCGCCCTGCGGCTGGCCCGCCGCGCTTTTCCACGAGCCTCCCGCGGTTCTGCAACATAGCAGCCTGTGTGAGGGTAAACATAGCCTCAGATTCGGCACAGTACAGATTCGACAACATAGCAGCCTATGTGAGGGTAAACATAGCCTCAGATTCAGCGACAAGTAGCAAGAAGACAGTGAATGTATGTGCGTCACACATTGACAGACGAATATAAAAGTCACAACTACAGGAAGATCCACAAAGCTTTGTGAAACCAAGAATCTGTGAAGAGTAATACTGACAGTGCACATCACAATTAGAAGACAGACAAGTTGCTATTTTTATGTGTGGTTAGTGTAGACGAAAATTAAAAAAAATGTACCATCCGAAAAATCACGACTAGACAAGTCAATATAATCATTTTTATCTATTTTTCATCTTAGAATTTAATGTAGAGTTTGTAGTAAAGTTTAAGTTGCAGAGGGATTATGATCGGCGGGTTTAAAAACATATCTTTAGTCTTGCTGATTTCTGCTTTTATGTTCACGAAAAAGACTTTAAAAATCAGCGCTTGACGCGAACCGGCTGCCTGCGTTGGCCCTGCCTGAGTGAAGACAGGCGTCTCCGCGCTGTCAGCACGTCTTGCACTTGAACCTGACGGGCGGAAGGCGGCGGCGCGGCCACCGGGTGCCGTCACCATGGTAACCTGCAGCGGTCGTCTGCGACTCGTGACGTCACTCCCGCCAAATCTGGGCAAAAGTCACGTAGCCGGACGGCTGGCCCGGCTCAAGTCAGTAGCCTCTACCAGGCTTCGGGAGGCGGCTGAGGAGAGTGGAAATTGGTCAAATAGAGATAACATGCAGAGGGAGTTGGTCCGCTAGAAAGTACAGTTTTGTTTTGAATTTCAGATGCGGAAAATTGTATTTTCTACAAAGAGCAACTCCCTCGGTATGCTATCTCTCTATTTGGCCTATCTCTTCTCTCTCCAGCCGCCTCCCGAAGCCTGGTAGAGGCTGTAAAGTCATCTCAGTTTGCGTTTCCCTCCCCAGTCCCTCCCGTTTCCCCCGCCGGTTTCGCAGTTTTTATCTGACGGGAAAGAATGTGGCGGGAACGCGTATCGGACGGGCGCCGGATCGTCTCAATACTCCCGGCAGTTAACCTCTGCCCCCTGACGTCACCGGCCCCGTGAAATACGATCCCCCTGTTCCCCGCCGTCCCGCCCGATGGCGCGAATCGAGCGCCGCTCACGAGCGCCGATAAACCGCCTGGTATCGATCTAGCCTCGTGCGCAGACTTCCTGCCGGGCAAAGTTTGTTTCTAACTAATCTCCAAGCAGATTCGGTGGGCCATGGGGCAAGGGGACTTTATGTTGGCGGGCAAACTACCCAGGCACCTACTTGGCTAATAAATTGTACTGTTTTTGAAGCTGCGTTGTAAGTTCGGTAAAGGCTTGTAAAAAAGCTAGCAAAAAGTATCCAGGATGTCTGCGAAGGATAGCCTTAATTTTCCTTGATCCTGGTGCCGAGGAACTGGTCTTGAAGCAGTCTGGGAGCCAGGTTAGCGGAGGGGACGCGCATCAAGGCCCTGGAGCCGAGGAACTGCCCATGAAGCCGCCTGGGAGCCAGGCTAGCACAGGAGTCTACCATCGATTGCCGGCGGGCGGCCGATAATGAAGTCGCCGCGCCGCCGTTATCGGACCGGACGGTGTCAGATTACTCCGCTGCACGGATTTGACAGCTTCCGGGAAAATATCGGCTGGGTGGCGGGCTTGATTGCTACACCGGACGGACGGACGGCCAACCCGCGCCGGAACTGTACAGCCGGCCGGGCGTCCAAACATATATTACTGCGCGGCCTGGGACTGGTGTGGGCACCGCAAACATACCGCATAACACCTGCTTGACTACATCTGAGCCGTTCTTTTGTGTTACTTCTGCGTCACCACTGCGTTACTGACGCGTCTTTAGAGACTTTGTCCGACTGTAGCTAGCTGTACCTTTTCCTATATATCAGTCATATCATCGCTCCGAATCAGTTCGTGGAACATCGCGTTACTGTTGGGTGCCTCTGACCGATTGCCCAAGTCACCGCCCTTGATCCTCTAAGGATCAAGTTAATGTCTGTCGTTACTGCTGCGTTACTGCTGCGTTACCTTCGCGTTACTACCACGTAACGACAGCGTTACCGCTGCCTTACCACTCTGTTCCTGCCGCT